ATTGTGTTGATGTGAAAATGAGATGCACTAGAGACTGAAAACTTTTCACTTGGTAGGTTATAGAAGCAAATTGTTTTTGTTAACACATAGGTGATCTTCATGAGACTATCTCTCATGTATCTGGTTCAGTGACAGCTCCTGGCAAGGAAGATAAAAAGGAAATCTGTGTTTCAAGCAGACATGGGAGAAGTAAAACAAAAGAAAAGGAAAAGATCTTCATCATCTATGAGCTGTTTTAAAAAAATATTACATTGAAGAAGTTTTAGGACATAGACAGCTTCTTCAGAAATACTCAGGATCCCTGCAACACTGTTGCATGAGTAGCAACTTCTCAGAAGGGGTATTCTGGCGGTATGCTCATACAGAATGATCACCAGCAGAGTTATATTAGGGTATGCTAATGGTGTATGAACCAAAGCAAGCAGCCCTGATGGACCAAAGGTGAATGTAGAGCTAAAGAAATCCTAGTAATAAGACTTCTAGTGTAGTCTGAGGTTTTTCCTGTGGTTTTTTTTTTTTTTTTCTGTGCTTTAAATCTTAACCAAATGCTTTTTTTGAAAAAATAGCAGTCTCAGCAAAAGTGTTTTGTTAAAATAAAAAGAGTACTGTCTGAAAACAAAACCCATTTCAGCTTTTGGAAGAAGAGAGGAAATCTAACAAGCCTAAGAGGTCTTCTTTTCTTTCCCCCAAATTTTTCTTTTCTACATTTTGTAACACTTACTTTTTATTTATTTTATAACAGTATTGAAGTACTGTAAGCTCATGTGTCAATCCACATGCTCTATCACAGTCAATTAGTTTACATTGTGACTACTAGCTGTAGTCTTTAATACATGTATGGGGCCTAAGACAATTATCTCCAGTTATGGGGAAGTCTTAGAAAAGTCAATAAGAGCATCAAATAAAGGAGGACTTGAGGCATGTTTGCTCCGCCAAGTATTTTGAAGAAAACAAACCTCAAAATACAAGAAAATTCCTTCCTTCGAGAAACCACCAAATTCAAACCTAGTGCCCAAAGCCACGTTCTTGTCCACCTCTGACCTGAATAAGGCTCACAGTCCTGCTCTCCTAACTTCATGCATGTTATAAGATGAAAACACATCGTCTTAATCAGACCGTCAAATTTTAAAATAGCTTCTGATTGCATTGTTTTAGTAAAGGTAGTTGTGATGATTGCATACAGGGTACAGGAAAAGCATGTCTTTAAAAGACTGCAGCCAGTGTAATTTACCAGAAATTATCTTGGCCCAGGATAAGTTTTAAAGGCTACTTTAAATTATAGTATGATATTTATTGCCAGGAACACTACTCTCTTTGATACAAATTTCCCCAAAACAATTGACATATAACTGGTTTGTCCAGATGTTATAGTCTGCAAATGTTACTTGCTCTTTAAAGTGGCAGTTGAGTGTTACCTGTGTCTCAAAATTAAAAAATACATTGATAAAACAGTAGTAAATTTGGCTGTGCAAACACATACTCATGAGACTACTCTGGTCATACCATAGTCATGGAAGATAGGCAGTAGCATAAAATCTTTGGAATATCTCCTAGCATTCTAATATATTATAAACTGAGAAACTAAATTAAATACATATCAGTGTATGCAGGTTTATTTTGTCACAATACAAAAAATTGCAAAAATTACAGAATATTGGTAACTAGAATTATGTCCTCCACATGCTGGAGCACAGGAGTTCTTTAGACTCAGCCTGCACCTGGTCCCATTAGCTTTCTGCCAGACTGTTCCTGACCAATCTATGTTGAACATGCAATGCAGGAAAATAGACCAGGAAAGCACATAAGAGAGGGATTTATACAAAGCAATTACGTGTCCTTCAGTACTTTTGTCTCCAAATGAGAACTGTATTATTTTTACTCAGCTAAAATGCCACAGGTATGCTGTAGACCAGAAGGAAGATATTGATCTTATTTTTTTCACAAGCTACTCAGATATATATGATTATTGTCCTAAGGCAATGAAGAAAGCCAGTAAATTTGTCTAGTCTTGTTTGATTTTCTCAGGATGGAGTGGGATATAATTACTGGTGCAGTTATCTCTGTATTCTCTCCTATTATACTAGATAGAGGCTGGACTTGTTTATTCCATTCTTATTTCAAAAATATAGGAAAGTATCCCTGCTGTCATTGGAAAGAGACTGTGAAACACAATTTATTCCTCAATGAAGAAAAAAAAAAAAAAGCCTTCACTTCATATATGCTAATCAAATTAAAGGTCTAGTCTAATCCTACAAATTGGTACTAGAGGAATCTTCTTGATCTTCAGCATTCACCTTGACCATGAATACAATACTGGCTTTTTTTTCATGACCATTCCTTCCAGGACATTATGTATTGGATCCAGGAAATATTTACACTCAACAGTGCTCATCTAACTGCAGTGAGGCTGACACTGTATCTCTTTGAATTTGGATCAGTGCCTTCATTTCGATTAGAGTAGACTGAGAAAAGGTTAAAATAAAAACAATAAAAAACCAGGCAAACATTTCTTCCAGAAATGCTTCAAAAGCCACACCAACTTGTCCCTTAAAACGTTGGTAAATATCATGCCTTGTTACTGGATTTGCATTACTCTAAATACTAATGATTTTTTATGTGCTTTTTTTTTCCTCCACCATCAGTAATTGCACATTGACCTGACATGCAAAAGACATGCATTGAAAAAGACACGACCTTACAAGGTATTTTTATGGCATGAAAATCACAGTTTCAGTGCCTTTTCCTCATTGGGTTGTGATGTTCTGGCAGCAGTTGGGAGAAACTGGCAAAAGAAAGAACAGGTCAAGTACTTTAGTGGCTGCATGCTGGGACTTAGCTGGGGCAACTAAGTAAGTTCTGACCTCTTGGATGGGTGGAAGGGCTGCTGACAATGGAACATGAGATAGAATTAAGTGAAGGAAGACCTTACATCTCCTGCTATCCCTGCTGAAGTAGGGGTATCTCATAGTCCCCCTTTAATCAGGATTGTAAAGTCCCTGTTGAAGGTGCTTCAGAGATGTTTGTGTCCATCTCCTTAGCTTTGCAGTCCTCAAGGAGGGACTCTTTGAAGAAGTATAGAATAGCTGTGACAATTAAGTCCTTCACAGAGGACTGCACAGACTATTACATATGCTCAGAGACTTAAGAATGATCCTAACTTAATCAGTATAGGTTTTCAAATACGCTTCTGCATTGGGCTCCCAATGGAGAGAAACAAAAATGCTATGTATGATGCTAAATGGCATCATACAGGGTCTCATTAGCCTGTTGTGCCTGGAAAACTAAAAAATTAAACTGTCTTGAATGCACTGATAGCTGCTTCTAGCTACAAAATGATGAAAAGCAATTTTGAAACAAAATTACAGGTTTTGTGCCATTAGGCTGATCTTGCAGGACAACACATTACTTTAGTGGGTTTCCATGCCTCTTTACTTTCTTTGTGCTCAGTATGCAGAGGAGATCTCTTCAATTAGGACCCCCATCCCCAAGGAAGAGTTAAGGACTTCACTTGCAATATATTATTTAAGTGCATTTCATACTTTTGCTTTTATATGGTTTTGACCATTTCAGAAAACCCTGGTGGTGGTGGAGAGAGATCACTCATAGCACCTGCAAGGCTTTGTCAAATGCTAATGTCCATTATCAAAGATTTCATTTTATGAATATTAAGATAAAAACCTCTCCAACCAAATAATGGCTGGATAGCTTCAGGAAATAGCACCAGGAATCGCATGAAGGAACACAGGTGCTAAAGAACTACTTTAAAGCTTATAAATTCTCATTATTGTACAATAAATTAAACAGTAATCTCTATGGGATAACATACCAACTTGTTCTTCCATTAAAAGTGGATTTACAGCAGTAATCTAAATTATTTCAGCAGCATTTATCTAGTTATTGCTTCTAGAGCAAAGTCTGGATGCAGAGTATGTAGGAGAGGACCTTTTGAAAGGGTTTTTCCTAAAAAGTCTTTCATAAAAATCAACCTGAATTGCAGCTTCATATTCACTGCTACATTACTAGACAAACTAAAGACATAGCTCCATGACAGTGTGAAGGTGTTTACTGGCAAGTATGTTAGAATGAAAAAAAATTAATGGGAAAGAAAAGGGAGCATCTAATCACTATAAGTGACCTTCAGATGATAGATAAAGTTAGGGGGAAAGATACAAGCAAACAAAAACACAGAGGAGCACAATGGGCTAAACTTATCCCAAGTATAACTCCGGCCAGATGGCCAGTATCTGGTTGTCAAAATATGTTTAATGGGAAAAGAATGAAAGAAACAAATGAAGTATAAAATCTGTTCTAGAACACTGGTTCTGTTTGGTTAAATCAGTATGCCTTCTATAATGCCATTCTTTGAGATCAATTACTCATTATTGCCCTGCCAGTATCAAACTGTGATCCGTGCCATTTTTCTGACCCCTTTCATCACCCTGCTTTTTCCCCCAGTGTTCTATAAATAGCCAATGTGCTATTTTCTTGTGATCACTGTAAACAGGGGTTTTAGGTATTTTTTTACCTATATCACCATGGAAACAAGATCTGTGTCTACATCTATGACTAGTCTTTCTCTAGAGTAAAAGCCTTCATTATCTATGCAAGCTTACAGCTAATTGTTCTACATAAGATATGGGTGTCTTATTGCTACCTACTACTTCGGAAATTCATTTCATGTAGTTGCACATAACAAGCTGTAAAGAGGGTTTTATGAAGCCAATAATGCAGATATAATACTTAAGGAATTCCTTTTGGATTGGATATATTTATTTTTCCAAACATTTTGTTTGAGAGAAAATGAGATTGCTATCTGCTGTTTCCTTATTTTTTGCAGGAAAGCAAAGGGTTGTTGACTTCCTCTCCCCTCCCTTCCTTCCTTCTTTCTGAAGGTACTGTACTCATCTGAAAAAAAAAAAGAGAACGAAATGATTGTTCCTGTTCTCCTTCTTAAGTCATTTGAAACATTGTCCCTGCTAGTTTTCTAAGTTTACTGCAATCTCTGCACGGGGGGGAGGGAGACAGCGGGAGAGAGACACAGATATTACAAACATCAGAGCAGGTAGTGTTTAGGGCAAGACTCCTTCCAGCTTCAACAACTGGTAAGTTAAGTAAATTGCTTTTATGATTAACTCTTTAAAAGTGCAATACATATATCTGTGTTAGTATTAAGAAAAGGTGTTAATTAGATACACATTTAACTGATAAAAGAGTAATAACCATATGCATTAATAAGCAGTCTATTTACGCTAGAGATACCTATAGTCTGGTTTTTAGATACTGGTGCTATTACCATATGGTTTAACCTAAGCAGATAGGAAAGTATTTTCTAATGAGGCTGATAATATTCACAATATAATATCCTGCGAATTTTGCGTATATAAGTCCTGCCACGAAAATCTTGTTACAGGCTTCACTAACTTTATCCCAACAGTTTCAGTAAGATTCACTGGGCCATTGCTAAAATACAGAGAGGAGCTGTGTCATATGGGAATCAATGTATTTCATTTATCATCTGCCAGTACTGAAGTCTGCTCCAACACACCAACCTGTGCTATTGCTGGGGCTGTTTTTGTTCCCTTCAAACTGCATTGTGTTTAGGATTACACATGTTTATCTCTAATCATCTGTGTATATGATTAGTCTAGGAACAATGACATTTAGGAGGTGGTAAGATGGTTCCTGGATCTCACTTGGAAAAAAACAAAACAAAAGAAAAAGTTCATGTTGTGCAGTACATCACTATCTGATCACTATTACTGATCACCCACATCAGTAATAGGATGGACTCAATAGTATATCTGTTTGCAAATTTTTAGGCTTCAATAATGTTTTTCATGTTGATCATAAATGCATCAGAATGATCAGAATTGCCATGTGAAATGAGTGACTGAATGCAAGAGCAGGTTTCAAATATTGCATGAGAAAAATCCCGCCCTGCACACTTTTATAGAAGCAGAATGCAGACGTGGGGCAAGAAATAGGACAGGTGTCCATTTCTATGCAAAAAGAGAATTTGCACATCTTGTGATTAAGTATTTCTTCAAGGTGCTGCTCTCTGAAGTGCAGGCTGCCCACAGCCCAGACAGAGAGGCTACAAATGGTGGGGAGATATTGCAAAAGGCTGTCAGGCAGCTCCAGCTGCCCTACTCCAAATCCTGCTCCCACCAGGGTACCTGGGCTGCTTCCGCCCTGGGACAGCCTCCTGCTCTCAGCCCTCACTGAAACAACTAGTGGAAAGGACTTTCTGCCTCCCTCTATCTGGTGTCTTTCTACAGGTTTTTCCATAAGAAGGAATGATCTACCACAAATTCAGCCCAGTTTCTGGGTAAGTTTTGCTTTGGGAGCAGCCAAAGGGGGTTTTGCCAAAGGAGATGGAAATAACTTGCTTCTTGAACTCTTTAGCTTAATGTTGCCATTCAGTCTAGTTTGGTACGAGTCAATTGTTTATTTGGTTATACTTAACTCACAAACAATTTGTTATCTGCTAATAACAAATGTCCGCCAGATCTTGCCGTGAAAACCATCGGCCACATCTTCCCCTTGAGATATATGGGTTTATTTTTATGTGACTATATACTGATTCAAATTAAAGACATGATTTGGACAGCTATTTTGACAGTTACATGTCAAACACCTGAAATCCCAGTTTTTACATCAAGTGAGACTTATAGGAGTCTTCCAAACACACAGAGAAGATTACATAAGCTCTGTGTTTGTGGTGGTATTTTCTTCAAACTGCAGGGAATTAGTCTGGATTGCAATCACTTTTAAGTTTTTGGTCTGGTTGGTTCAAAAGTTAAGTTTGCCATATAGGTGAAAGTAAGCCGCAGCCTTTAGGTCCAGGTTTTATTGCTGAAGATAATAAACATTTGTGCTTTCTTGATTTAGATCACGTATGCAATAAATCCTTTATCTGAGACATCGTCTGAAATATATAAATATGAACAAATTTGTTCAAATCATAGTAGGTGAACAAAAGCAGTACACACTGTTTTAAAACCCAATCCCCAATAATAAGCACAGAGAAAACTTTTTAAAAGGAATGCTTAGTAATTTGGCAGTAAAAAACAGACCTTGAATTTTGAATTTCATTCTTATAATTTACCTGTTAGGTTTATTTTCCTTTTAAAAATACATCTTTGCAATTCTTTGGAGCTTATTTATTTTCACTTTGTATAATTTATTGTCAGAACCACTGTAACATGATTTAGTACAACAGGAGCTTGTAACAGAACTAATATCTTTCTTAAGGTGTCAGAAAAATTATTTTTTGGCTGACATGTTATTCGTACGTCACTGAGATATTTACAGCAGAGAAAGGTATAGTCTGAGTCTCTACTGGGTACAGATTTGCTACTAGTTTACAGCACAAATTAAATATTTATACAATGAATTTTCAGTTATTCACCCCAATGTTTGTGAGAGACTGGACTGTTAATGGTTAATGACTCAGCTCTTAAAATTATAAGCCAAGAATAAAAAGAGACAATTTGTGTTTATTTTGCTTAAGGTCTTACTGCTTCTACTGGTAATAGACATATTTATGTATATAACATAAATAAGTAAATGATAAGTCAGTGTATGTATTTCCTCAGAGAATTATTTAAAGCCATTATTTCCATTTGATGTGTTCTCAATTATAATGAAGTAAAATATAGAAGATTATAGCTTTTGTTTGGAAATAGAAAAATAAAGCTATACCAGTAATGGCAGAGAGGTTACAGAAACAATTTGTAGCCTGTGGAAATCCCAAGTTAATAGGTCTGGTTCAAAAAGTATAGAAGCTAAGAGAAGTCTTTCTATAAATGTCATTGCCTTTTTATATTTAAGACCAGCTTCTTTAATGTGTAAACGATTGAGACTTTTTGGATACAGAATAGTAGCACTGAGTTACATTCCTAGTAACATTTTGGCATGTCTAATGTACATTTTTGACCAGGAGATAATTTTAAGCTTTGAATCCCAAGGAGATGTTGTTTCTTTTTGTTGTTGTTGGTTTTTTTTTTCTTTTTTTTTTGTTTTGTTTTGTTTTGTTTTGTTTTGTTTTGTTTTGAATTGTTTTTCATTCTTACAAACAAGCATATCAACAAGAGCCTTGTTTAGGACTATCTGGGTGCAGAGCAGAAAGTGATGGTTTGAAAGACATGATGTGCATCTCACAGATAAATGTAGCATGATGTCTTTAGGGTGCTGTTCCTGGTAGTGCCAGAGAGATATACAGGATTTAGAACAGGATAAGCATGAGGGGTGAATCATAGAATCAACCCAATTCAAGCCCCATACGATGAGACAGAAGAATATGGATTTCAGACAGAATTTACATTGTTTTCAATCTTTGAAATTGCAAAGACTCAGTGGTGCAGAAAGGTAGAAGAGTGGACTGCTCCACTCTTCTGGACATGTCAGCAGAATCTAATCAGAAGACACAAAAGCAGTAAAGGCTGCATAAGGTATTGGGGATTTTCTGTGGCTGTGCTGAAAGGACACAAATCAATGGTGTGTAAGGCAACATCTTATTTACTAGTTGATAAAAATGATCCATAGTTTTTAAGCACCAATGCATGTTCTTCAGTACCAAGTGATCCAATCAAACTGCTCCTTCAAACAGACCTTATAAGTACTGTGAGACTGCTACAGATTGTTATCAAATTATTCATTTGTTTGATGGATTAATTTTATAACCCAGCAAAATTTTAAAAAATAAACCACCTATTAGAACAAAATAGTTACTTTCTTCTTCTGTGCAGTAATTTTCCATGACCTAGCTTACATTCTCAGAAGATCACTAAAAAGAAAGGAATGTCATCTTGGAGAAGAAAGACATATAGAGACACAAATAATGCAAAGCCTTTGAAAAGAAAGAAACAAATTCAGGGGGAAAAAAAAGATGGGATTATTTTTGCTGAAAATTTGCTATTCTGAAATTGAGAATGCAGCCTTCCATTGCTGTAAAAATTCAGTGGCATTTTAAAAATGATATTCAGATTTTTATCCAGTGAAGAGGCCTAAGTTGATCCCCAGCAATTATTTAAAACATGCATTGAGTTGCATGCTGGATGTGTATTTTTTGTTTATATCTTCCAGACAGGTACTAGTCCTTCTTGCTTGACTTCTAAAATACTAATGATCCAGTGAAAAATATTACTTAATGTTTGGTTTAGATCCTTCCAAATGTAAAAACGTTTTCCCTTGTTTCTGTAAAACAAATGGTTTTATACGTATTACTGTGCTCTTGATAAGTGAAACACAGTATTTTCTTTCTCTACCAACAATTCTTAATGTATTGTAAAAACTGTAATGTCACTGATAGTAATTAAGCTAAGTAATCATGTAATAAAAGAAAATATTTTTGTGCTCTGGAGGTTATGAGAAGAAATTATGTGAATAATTCTTTTTTTCTTTTTACTTTCATTTCTAATTTCCTGCTTTTGATGTTAGAAAAGACCTGTTATTAATTATTTAAATGTAGGATGAAAATGCCACCCTATTTTTAATTTCTCTTCCTTTCCTCCCTCTTCTACCATGGAAGCTAAAACACTAAGCCATTTTCCTCTTACTTCGTGGATGTACAGGAATTAATTGATTTAAAGGAAAAATCTTAGGTAAGACGTGTGTTTCCTGAAAACCTATTTTTCCCTTGTCAATCTTCAAAAAAGTAATCCTGAAATCACCCAACTTTTCATCTGCATATGCTCATTAGAAGCACTAGAATTCAGAGAACACTGAATATGAAGTTGACGATTTGTTTAATTACTAAAAGTGATAAGTTAGTCTCCTACACTGATAACATCACATTTTGCTAAGAGCTTGAGATAGGTAAAACTAATTTAAAATTGAAAGCAAGGCTGTGAGAAGGAGCACACATTTTCAGCTGTTCTTCTTGGATGATGCTGTAGTAGAAGTGACGTTACTGCACAGCAAGGCCCACACAGTCCTCTGTCTGCAGGCCTGATGAAGAATAGACACCATCTAATTTTCCCTGCATGGAAGAATCTTGGTCTTCCCACAACGGAGGATCACATGTGGTGGCTCTGGGAGAGAACCATGTGGCTTTGCCCCTTCCTGTTCTGACACCAGCCCCTCTGATAAGCTACAAGTGTGTTGGCTGGGAAGGACAAGATGAGTTCTAGCCTTCCTTTAAATTTGTTGCTATTGCTCGTTGTGAAAGAGCCCCTTATACTTCAGTCTTCCTTTTTTAGGGTTGCAATGTAACTGTTAGACCCTTTCTGCAGTGATGAAAGACTTCCTCTTTCATGGTGGGCTCTGTGCTGGATCTGCCACTTAAAAATTTTAAATTGGAAAGAACCAATTAATACTCTCACCAACACGCAATACACGGGATCTAAAACAAATCGAAAGGTGTCCAGGATGGATGTGTTGGAATGCAGTGAGTATTTCAGGTTTAGTTTTTTCTCTGAGCTGCTTTCTAGAGCATATAGTGTTTCAGCTTTGGTGTTTCAGCTCCAGATAAAACTTATTTGAGAGTATTATTTGAAAAGGCGGCATCTGTCATACAATACTTCCAGTTAGCATAATATTTTTCTGCTAGTCTGCTTTTCCTTAAAAGTATTTAGAGTACATGTGCAATGAAAACAATACCAGGAGGTGGAAAAGGGAGGAATGACCTGTTTTTAGAGCATCTGTCAGCTTCTAAGAACCAGCAGAAGTAGTCTGAGGCATCTGGTAGGCACCAGCCCACCCTAGGTTAGTTCCTTAGTGCAGATTTCTGAAGCTGTGAAGATCATCCTGTATTTGTCCAAAATCATTGTCCTGTGATAGGAATTCCATGAAAGTGTAGAGGACCTCCTGGAAGAGCCACCTGACAACAATTTGTTCATAGGCTCACCAGAAATTAAGCCCACCCATTTACAAATTAGAAGATATTTTTTCTATAGAATCACAGAGCAAGGAATCACAGCAGTATGAATGCTATATCAAACAGTTTTCCTGCATAATGCTGCACTCACAATACAAAATCACCAAGATTTCTGGAAGAATTTTGTGTCTGTAGGCAGCATTTTGTCAGGATGCCACAGAAAGAGTCACATATATTGGAGGAATGGTGCTCACCAACTCCTCTTTCCTCTGCCAGAAAAATGGAAATACCAGTCTTTCATTTCAAACACATTAATTGATTTTTTCACATCCCACAGAAAGTGAACCCCACTGAAACTTCAGTCACGGGTAAAGAATGCAGTTGAATGGCTATTACTTGATTCTGCAGGACAGGGATCAGGACTCAGGGTTCAACCTAATGACTTGCTGCAAGAATTTTGACTAATTTGTTTCCTGCTAAAAAACAATGAACAGGCTCCCACTGGAAGGCAATGAATCTGGTTAGGACAGTGAATCATGACAGAATTCACTGGTAATGTTTCTACGCTCAGACCAGAGCCTTACCTGCTATTCCCTCTAAAAGACTGCAACAATTCCTATTAATTTTTCCATGTTTTTTATGTGATACTTGTTTTTTCCAGGAAAAAGGTCCTGAATACAATGATTTGGGATGGCGTTGTGGAGGTATGGGCAGGGATTGGTAGAGAGAGTTATATTAATACATCAGGTGATTTCTTACATAACTTCATTTTATGATGCTAGTTGGCCATTCTTAGTCATGCTGCTGAGTCACAGTGGTTTGATGGGGTTTTTGGTTTCCTTTTTCTTGTGATGAAAATCTGAACTGAGTTAGTATCCAGAGCATCACTTATGGTGAAGGAAAGATTAGTACTAGACTGGTTTGGAAAATGTTCAGAATTTCAGGTTTCAAACTATGTTGATTTTCTTCTTAATTTTATTTTTTTTTGACAAAAAAATAATTGCTTATTTATTTGTGATTCTAGTCTCTGTTCCAGTATCTGCTGGTGCTACTTGGTTAAGTCTGAGCTGTCTTTCCCACTCAATATGCTAGTTTATTGAATTCAGTAAAATTAGCATTTTAAATCTGTTTCAGTTTAAAATAATTAACCTCAAGAATTATTCCCCATATTGACCAAATGAATTTGTTTTCTAATTGAAGAAAATTGTAGAAGCAAGACAGAATTTGTTTTGAATTTCAGATTTTCTGTAGTTTCGGCAACAAACTAGTGCTTATTTTTTAAACTTTCTTACAGTTAACAAAATCATTAAGAGCAAGACGCAGGATGTGTTTTGGGGATCAGAGAAGGAAAGTATTTTTGTTGTTCAGTCAAGGAAAAGATTCAAGTTTGGCACCACAAGTGAAGGGCAAAGGCAGAGAGTATCTTAAACTACTTCTTGCAGGTACTTCATATGATCAGACAAAAATGCCATTCTGTGCTGGAACTGAAGAAGTAAACACATTTCTCTTCAAACTAAATAATTAAAAAAAAAAAAAAATGAACCCTCACTGAATGAAATTGTGAGATGCATGTGCAAGTGATAATTTTTCTGGACAATAAATACATATTCAGTGCAGTTTCAAAGCTTTAATAGAAGTTTTATGCTCTGGCAGTTTGGAAAGCAGAACTCCGTAATCACCATGCAGATATATCAAAAAAAGTTCCTTCTAATGGCTCAGCAATTTGCCTTAAGAGCCTTTTTAAACGCTTTCTTCTTGGTAAGGTTCTTATTTTTTTCTTGTAGGGTCTCAAAAAAATAAACACAGTGGTGTCCTAAGAACAGCACTGATATGTCTAATTCCTTTACTGTGTTTTCTGTTGTACTTTGGTTCAGAGGGAAATATCTAAGTCATTACTAAGCCAGCTTAATTACAAGTGAGTAATACAGGCTAATAAGGATTAATCAGTCTTTACAGCCAAGCAGCTTTTCCAGCAAGAAATCTGCTCAGTCTTCAGCTGAAATAAAATGTATTCATCTTTCCTAAATAAATAGGAAAACATTATCTGGTGATTAATTTTAATAAGGGGACACTAAGATAATTGTTTAGTAGCAGATATGTTTTTATAAATCACACACACACACACACACACACACACATACACACACAAATATATACTCACTTCTGTCACTTTGTGGGTGAAATCCTCTTCTTTCAGTTCTTGTAGGATATAACACGTCTTACTGAAACACATGGTACCTACCATTTTAGCAACCTTCAGTTTCACTATGAGTTTTGAATTGTGTGAAACAAGGAATTGAGCACAAAATAAATACAAAAAAAGCAATGGTTCTGCTGAGGACTAATTATACTCTTCCATGTTTAAAAAAGCCTAACCTTTCATTAAAACTTAAGCTGTTTTGGAAACTTTTTACAAAATCTCTTCCATGCAATCCTCTAATCCCTTGGCCCTTTTCCAATCATGTGTACACATTTTATCTGGTCCTTTCTTTTTTGAGGTACATGCGATGCCCATAAGGTGCCATTAACTGCTGATGGGGGAGCCAGCTGGCTGGCTTGAAGAACAAAGCTAACTTGGTTCTTCAGCTTGAAGAACCCTTAGCTATCATTTAAGACAACAAAGATATGGGAGGAGGACACACCATCTCTCTGGCCTCCATATAGGTGATAAGGACACTGGGATTACAGTAGGAAGGAAAGCTCAGTGTATTTCCTTTTTAAAGGTCATGAATGCCCGTGAAATGTTCGCTTTCAAAATAAGAGCTCAAATAGGACAGCACGAGGGTTATGGAAGGGCATCCTTTTTTGCTCATTCTAATTTTGGATGTTCTTCATAGCTCTGTTATTTTTCTTAAAATAACAGCTCAAACCCTCTCTGTTCTGTTTATAGTGTTTAATGATTGTGCATTGTAGGTGGAAAGATTATACCCAAAGTGTTCTTTAAGGACTCCACACTCTATCCAACATCACTATTTTACTACAAAATCCTTCCTAATATTTATATTATTCATTTTTTCTTTTTGTTCACGCTGTCTCTTTTTATATCAGTATATAGAGGAAAAAAAACCTAAAGCTTCATGGACATAATTTGATAATTTTCCAGAGGAAAAACTATTAACACATAGGATTTCCACAGTGCCAAAAATGCATTATTTTAATTTGCATTGGCAGATATGGGATAGACAGGAAACAGGGATGGAGTGATAGGACTTCTATAAACAATGATTAAAGTGACTCCACATACTTTATAAAGGCAGGGACACATCCATGGTTCCAGCCTACGAAATGAGATCGCCTTATCCACTTAAGAAAAGGAAGAAATTTGTCTAATTGTCATCACCTCACAGCAGTCTAATCCCAAATCTTGTTCTCAGCTACACCCCAGATATTGCATAATTATTTCAGTGCAATACAGATGATGTCAGAGAGAGAATTAAGCAGGCTGCTTAGGATGAGAGTTGTTTAATTGAGTAATTAACTGAGCTGGCCAATCCATCATTAATTCCAATGCCTAGTGAGGGCAGGATCAAATTGCATTTCCACCCTGCCTTCTGGCAGCAGTTAGACTTTGCATGTTTGAAACTCTTCTACTACATGTGCTGCAAATCTCACCATTACGGGAAACCTGATCTTGTCAGCCCTGAGCTTTGAGCAGGGTCTGAAAACTCAAGATACCTGTCCCCAAATACTCTCAGGAACCAAGTCCTGTAAGAATACTTATATTAACTGAATATACACTGACAACATCAAATTTGGAGAAAAATACAAAAGCCACAAGACAGGAGACTGGTTAATTTCCCTCCCAAGGAGTTTGGACCCACACCTCTAACCTCTTAGTGGAGTTAGGGGAGTTTAGCCCTGCCTAAAGCTTGCGCTGGTCTCTCTGGTCTCCTTCGGCTGGAGCTGGGCCTTTAGGCTAATAGAAGTGCAAGTGCCAAGGGCAGGGAGCAGGGGGAAGTCAGATGTGATTGTTAGGGGCTGCAGACTCCAACCCTCTGGAGTCTGGACTCCTCCCAGGCGTAACTTCAGGTTACAATCTGTTTGCAGGAAGTTTTTTAAGATGCCTTAAGATCAGGCTGGAAAGCTGACATAATATGCTTTCCTGTTTCTTGTATTCTTCCCAATACCAGTGTCTTGGGTGAGCTGTACTGCCAGCCTGAGCTGACATGCCTGCTTTTACACCCCCCGGCGCCTCACCAGAAGCTCGGCTCCCCCTAAGCTAACTTAGCAGCCTTCTGCGGAGGAACGGCGAAAGGCAGGAGGCGCGGCCGGAGCCCACCCTGCTGTGGGCAGGGAAGGGGCGGGCCCACACGGCGGAGCCGGAGGCCTGCCCCGAGCGGCTGGGTGTTCGCTCTGCCTTGCGCTCCGGCGCGGCTTTGAATTCCGTGTCAGTACCAGCAAATCAGGCAGATACAGGTGCTCAGCTCAGGACATGAAATCTTGGTCCATTTACACACTGTAAGACCATTTAATGTGCTGTGCCTTGCAGGCTCCCATCATGTATAGCTGTGGTTTGGGGTGGCTTTGTGTAAAGAGGTAACACTTCAGAGTCTGTTGACTTCACATTCATTTCATTATGCAGGTTGTCTCTGTGTTGCTGATCATTTTAGCAAACAGAATAGAGAAATAGGGAGTGAACAACAGATAGAATACAGAAATTAAGAGGGAAGAGAAGGACTAAGAAAAATCATGAAGAGGAAGAAAAAAAAAAAAAAAAGGAGAAAGAAGGATAAGAAAAAGAAAAATAAAGATCCAAATCATCACTCTAAACTATACTCAAAAACGACATTGTTCATGACCTGAAATAACCAGAGAGGTCCACAGGGCTAAGTACTGCTAGAGGCATTGCCAGTAAGCCCCTAGGGTAGATGGTCTGTGGGTAACCCAGACATACTGCTCTGTCACCCTCGCCCACTCCCTTGTTAGGTGGCAGAAGGGTAGAGAGAATGCCAACAAAGGTGTCTCTAGAATAAGGACAGAGCACACATAAAAGTAACAAGAGGGATAGCAAACCATTTCGCTAAACACAACTAAACACTGGAGAGAAGAAATAAGTCTGCAGCTACCTCACTACAGCATCTGTCAACCTATTTTTGGTTTAAATTGAATCAATTCAAACATGGAACACAAATTATGCCATAAACCCTATAAACACATCTGATGCCACAAACAATACCCCAGCTTTGGCAGGCTACATAGTGGGACTGCTCCAGACTTTCATCAGAGGAAATCTGAAAATCTTGTTTACTACTTTTAGTAATTATCAAAATAAAAATTATCTGTAAATTATGGAAAAGTGAATGTGTATAATTTTGATACTATTTTAAGGCATTTCCTCTATTATAATGAACACCAAAGTAACTATACTCCTGTGAAAGTGCTCATAGTGTCTTGCTCACTAAAAATGAAAACAATGAAACAAATACATACAAATCCATCTTATTTCAAAGACAGTGCAGGCAAATGTATATGTTTGACTTCTGCATTTCTCAGCTAATATACAAAAGATTATGCAAGTTAAAATATTAAAATTTGGGAGAAGCAAAGACAATGAAGGGAGAATATTTCCACTGCACAGTTTCCTTTGAGAAGACCCATTTCTTTGTATTGGTGACACCTCCCAGACAATATTAATGCAGCTATGCTGGATAGGAAGCCCTTAGACCAGAAGGAATATCTAAAATGACTGAACGTCAAACTAGAAGCTAGGATGATACCAAAATAGCAAATGAAGATAAAAAATAATTTAATAAATAAGATGTCCTTGAAAGTTCATTACTTGTTGTATCTATTTACTGTGTCATGCCAACCTATCAGATTTTTAATCAACTAACTTCCTTTGATTTTCATTAAGCTTGTCTGCAAAGGTTGCCACCTGCTGACATATGTTCTGAAGATATAAGTATTTTTTTCATTTGTTTGAGGAATAGATGGGCTCCTATCTCATTGAGCAACAGAACCGATAACAAATCATAAGGGAAACTGTGAGAAGTACTTTCAGGTGCCATTGGAATTCTTCCCACAGGCCTTAATGAGGTCTGATTATGTCCTATGAAGAATTACAAAGGTTATCACTTTTATTTTACAAAGTATTCACTGAGAGAAAAACCTCACATTTGTTGATGGAAAGAAGAAGTTTTATCCTGAAGCCTGCTACCAGCAGATGAAGGTAATTTCCCAGGGAGAAGTGAAAAGACAGTGATCTTCTTAGTACTATCATACTAATGTAGGAAGAAAAAACCTAATCTGTTCCACTTCTCATTTTGTCATTCCAGATCATGTTCATGAACAATTGCTTACTTATTTCTAATTCCAGTTCTATTAGTGGTGATAATCCAAAAAGGGAAGAGAAATATTTATGGCAGTATCTTTATCTTGATAGCACTCTCCATTTAAGCAGATATACGCCTTGTAAAAAACATGGGGCAAGAAACCTTATCTCCATAGACAATTAAGTTAATGGTTAAATCATAGACTTCCTTTGACATCTCACTTCAATGCATGTGAGACTGAGAAAATAAGTGTTTGTAGAAGTGGTATTGAAAAGTATTTGACTAAACTAAATGACTATTATTCCCAGCTCAGGTTTGTTTTTCTAAAAACTTCCACTATATTTGTGTCTCCTCACCAACAACTGCACTCATTGATTTTGAATACTTTCTACAAATCCATATTTTTTTTACAAGGTAGTCCAAATTTCACAAGGTAGTCCAAATTTTTGTCTTCTCCCAGCTCCAAACAATGACAGAAGAAGAAGTTTCATTTAAAACATAAATAATCTTTTAGGTTAACTTCAAACATTGTAGCTTGAAGGCTGATTTGGATGTCTTAATACATACTTAGTTATAAATGCACATAATATGCACAGAGTTTATATAGTCAGATTGAATTTATTAACATACACTCCATATGTGTTAGTGGGGTCCATTTTTCAAAATGTTCTGCTTGAAATGTGGATATTTATGCCTGGAGAACATGGATGGAGAGTGCTCCTTGCAGTGGCTTCTCTAAAGAATAAGATGGTAGGTTTGACACTGATTTTAGACAAATTCAGATATGGGCATTGACATGTTTTATTACCTTCTGCCTAGAAGGATTCATGCTTTCAGTGAAGGAAGATAGCAGGGAAAATTGTAAGGAGGGATGAGATGTGTACTACCCAAAAATACTTGGTTACCAGTAATGGACATTTTCACCTTAGTACAGGTGTTCTTGGCATTTTCAAAGTCTGACAAATAAGTTAAATCTGTCTAGATTCAGTAGGGAGCACTTCACTGCTGAAATGAAATTAATTCAGTATAATAAAATCCCTCAGTCAGATCCTGAGACAGATGCAAGTTTTGCATAAATAGCAGATGAGAGAAAACTATGTAAATAATTTTCTCCTTAGTTCAACAGCTGTATAACTGAATACATTTAAAACCAAAACATGTTTGGAAGAGCAGACTGAGAGCTCATTAAACCTATTAAGATAATGATAATTATTGCCATAATAACAGTTGACAAGAATCAGTGATTGAAAAAACCCCCAGCTGGTTGTTCAATAAAGCTGAAGCTCACCAACTGCTCAACTCCAGCTCAAGAAATGTAATACTGTTAAATTTGTCAGGAATCCTTACCACATCCAACAGAAAGAGCTGTTAGTTTTAATTCTTTGCTTTTAGACAGCCATATTTCAGGCCTCAAAAGGAGAGCAGAATTGCGCTTTTACAGGGCATGGTTTCTGCAGTCCTACATGTTCAATTAACCATAGAATTTCTCTTCCAGAGAAGAGAAGCTGGCCAATTTGGCCCCTTTTGACTTATTCCACTTTGTGTGTTTCATCTTCTTCTGAAAGAGCAAACATAAGTAACTCATTAACCTTTGTCATATCTCATTCACTCATCTTAGCCTTATTTCTGGCTTTATGATTGTGTTGCCCAGGAGAAAAATCAGAACAGTTGTAGTTACTGTTCAAATTGGAGAAACTTCATGACCTCCCATTTTTATGGCTGGACATGTTATTAGTCTATAGACAGAAAATACTTTTGTCCAGGAAGCAGAATCTTGATTCTACAGAATTCTTAAGAAAATTTGCTGTTGGCTCCACTACTGGATATTAACTGGAGGTATTTGCTTGTAGAGTGAATAGCATTATTTACGTACTTTCTCTAATCCTTTGTCTTAGAAATGAGTGGACATGAGAGGGTAAATGGTGATTTATATTCTGCATTAAACTCTTCCTCTTTCATGGAAGTTAAGAATATTAGCTGCTGCATAGAAATTCCTCAAGAACTATCCCAACTCACTCTGATTTTTCTTGTTTTGAAAGGGCAGAAAGAGCTAATTTGTAGTTCTATTCTTCAAAAATACTGTATTTCCATTTACATAAAGAAACAAAATTTGAGGATGCTTGTCTCTTCTACAGAAACTGACTTTAGTTCTGGAGTGCTCAGTTTAGTGGGCACTTAGTTTATGTGGAAGGGCCAATACAGCATGGAAATCTCTGTCTCAATGAGTTTCCAAACCAACTTTTCAAACCTAGTAGCTTATCTATTACTGATAAAAGCTAGAATTTTATATGAACATCCAATGTTTAGAATCATACTACATAGAACTACATTTTAAATAATAAGTTTTGCAGAAAGAAAGAAGTTTAAAGTTCTTATATAGGAAACACAAAAGGTCCCTAGGTGTTATTTGAATTTTAAAATATGGAAATAAAAATAAATATTAAAATAATGCAAAAAAAATTTAAGTTCAAACTCCCTGGTGTTGAGTATTAAAATGACATCTGCTACTCTAGGGCCAGGTAGAAAAAGGGTACTGTGGATTTGTACTAAAACATTCAAGTTCTCTGCTGAAGCTGTTTAATGAACAAGGGACTGTTCCCTCAGTATATTTTGCATTGGGGTAAAACCTGTTGTCTCATCTATGGTTTCCTCAGAACTCATATTTTTGTGGAATTAAGTTATGGACATAGTTAAGATCATGCCTCTGTTCAAATTAGCAACACGTTTCCACCAGAATGAAAGGAGAAATAATTAATGTATATATCATGGTGGTTTCAGGGGTAGAAAAACCAGCAAGGTGATCCATATGTAGACTTCTCCTTTCCTTTTAAGTCCTCTTGTGTTGGATTATACAGCATATCTCTGATTGTGCTGGTTGCTGACTGTAAACACTTTCCCTTGTAGGATTGGTCCTGTGATGCCTGTTGCTGTGGCCAGTGGAATAGGCCCATATGCTCAGTGAAAGCAGTCAAAGGTTAGTAGTGCAAGGAAAATGTTTCTTTCTGATAATTTCAAGGGGTTCTACAGCTCTGTGTTCCAGAAAGAGTGAAACGTCGTGCAAAACTCTGTGCAGAAGAGGGGAGTAACTGGCAGCCAAGAAACAAAAAAGCAATTAGAATCAACTCACTGTCATTTCTGTGTACTTTTGGCAGCATTTCAATAATCCAACAAAAGCCGTAAAGAACATAGCTGGGTCCTCAATTGCTGTGCACTTTCTTAAGAAATTTGTACCCTTATTGCTGGGGAAGAATGAGACAAAGTTGGAAGATGTTTGAGGCACATACTTTATAGGGAAGATTTTTATCTATAAGCATTATGTTCAAATTGTGTGAGTTTACTCTGCTAAAAAGGAGTTTGAAAAGCATTTTTTTTTCTTTTGGAAATAAATTGAGGATTTTTCAATACTTGGGGGATTCCCTTCCCCTTCTCCCTTTTTAGTAAGCCAAACCTTTGTACCCAAAGAGTTTTCAAGATCTAACTGTTCCTTATTTTGACTAGAGACCTAGGGTGACAAGGAAACATTAGGATAAATACCCAGTAGAAGTTCTCTCTGATGAAACATACACACATGTATTACATATATATGTATGCATGCACACAGACATCATAGTGTGCAGTTTTGAGTACCACGTTGTATGAAAGATATAAATAAAGATGGTGAAGGGCCTTGAGGGGATGCCCTATGAAGAGCAGTTGAGGTCATTTGTCCCTTTCAGTCTGGAGAAGAAGAGACTGAGGGAAGACCTCATTGCATTCTACAACTTCCTCATGAGGGGAAAAGGAAGGGCAGGTACCAATCTCTTCACTCTGGTGACCAGTGACAGGAATTGAGGAAACAGCCTGATACAGTGTCAGGGGGACATTTGGTTTGAATATCAAGAGTAGATGTTTCACACAGATGGTGGTTCAGCCCTGGAAGAGGCTCCCCAAGGGAAATGGTCACAGCACCAAGCCTGACAGAGTTCAAAAGCATTGGGGCAACTCAGGTTGTCCCAGGTATGTGGTGTAATGCTTGAGGGTGTGCTGTGCAGGGCCAGGAGTTGGAGTTTGATGATCCTTGTGGTTCCCTTGCAAATCAGGATATTCCATAATTACTTGAATTGATATTGTGTATATAAATGTGCACTATTTCCAGTCAGTGCGCTAGTGACTGAAAGTAGTATTGTGGTATAATTATGAGATACGTATCCAAGTTGTAAGCAATTATTTTATCTTTTCCCTCTATCCAATGTGGTTTTTTGAGTCATAAGTTTATATATCCTTCACTTTTTCCTTCAGTTAGTCCTCCTTCTTTGGGAGTTATTTGATGATTTTGTCTAAACTTTCTGTCTTAAAATTTTGTCACTGAGCCTTTAGTTTCACACTTTTATCTCAAAGATAATTGCTGAGTCTACAGAATTAGAAGGAAACAGTCTGCAGAAAGTTTTTTAAGATGCCTTCTCTTGCCCATGGCGTTAACTAGGTCACAGAGATGTGCTTTTGCCTATCTTTGGAAGAAGACTTATCCAGCATGGAACTTCCTAAAATAGAAATAGGAGTGTGTTTAGTGCTCCACTCACTTTCTTGCTCTCCACCCAGCATTTCCAATAATTATGTTATAAATAGAATCAGCATGTCAGAGATGATAGAGGGAAAATGTGTCTAGTTTTCCAACCTAACCTTTGTCTGGTTGGTTAGATACATGCACACAAACACACACATTTATATAAGTGCATCCCTCAGAACTTATGCAGAGAGAAAACTGGAGAGGCCAAAGCCCAACTCGAACTTAATCCAGCTACTCCCACAAAAAATAGCACAAAATGTTTTCATATATATATTCACATAAAAAAAAGGGCCAAGGAGAATCTTCATTCTTTGTTGGATGTGGGGTGAAACTTAGTGTTGAATGATGAAGAAAAGGCTGAGGTACTTTGTGCCTTCTTTGCTTCAATCTTACGCAGGCAGACCAGTTGTTCTCAGGGAGCTCAGGCATCTGAGCTGAAAAACAGAGACAGGGAACCAAATTAAGCCCCCATACTCCAAGGGGAAATAATCAGCAACCTGCTACAACACTTAGACCCACACGAGTCTGTGGGACTGATGGGATCCACCCAAGGGTACCAAGGAGGCTGGTGAAAGTAGCTCACCGAGCTACTTTCCATAATTTACCAGCACTCCTGGATGTCTGAGGAGGCCCCAGTTAACTGGAGGTTGGCAAATATGGCTCCCTCCTACAAGAATGTTTGGAAGGAGGATTGTGGATCAGGTCATCCTGAGTGCCATCAGACAGCATGTATAGAGCAGCTCAGCAGGGGATCAGGCTCAGCCAGCATGGGTTCATGAAAGGCAAGTTCTACTTCCCACACAGGACCTCCTTTTATGACTCAGTGGAAGAAGGAAAAGCTATGTATTCTGTCTTCCTGGACTTCAGCAAAGTTTCTCACACCATTTCCCGCAGCATTCTCCGGAGAAACAGACAGCTCATGGCTTCATGGGTGCACTGTTTCCTATGTAAAAAAATGCCAAGATGCCCTGGTCTGGAGAGTGGTAGTGAATGGAGTTACATCCAACTGGCAGATGACCACCAGTGGTGTTGCCTGGGGGTCAGTACCGGGCCCAGCCCTGTTTAATGTCTTCATCGATGAATGTGGGGATCAAGTGTACCCTTGCTAAGTTTGTGAGTTACTCCAAGCTGGATGGGAGTGCTGATCTGCTGGAGAGCAGGAAGGCTCTGCATAGGGATCTGGACAGGCTGGATCATGGGCTGAGGTTCAACAAGGCCCAGTGAGGTTCAACAAGGCCAGTGCTGGCTCCTGCCCTTGGGTCACAGCAGCCCCAGGCAGTGCCACAGGCTGGGGCAGAGTGGCTGCAAAGCTGCCCACAGGAAAAGGACCTGGGGGTGCTGCTGACAGCAGCTGAACATGAGCCAGCAGTGCCCAGGTGGCCAAGAAGGCCAATGGCATCCTGGCCTGCACAAGCAATAGTGTGGCCAGCAGGAGCAGGGCAGGGATTGTCCCCTGTACTCAGCACTGGGGAGGCCACACCTTGTGTGCTGTGTCTAGTTTTGGGCCTTTCACTCCAAGAAAGACATTGAGGTGCTGGAGCATGTCCAGAAAAGGGCAATAGAGCTAATGAAGGGTCTGGTTCACAAGTCCTGTAATGAGTGTCTGAGGGAGTTGGGGTTGTTTAGCCTGGAGAAAAGGAGCCTCAGGATAACATTATCACTCTCTACAACTGCCTGAAAGGAGGCTGCAACCAGGCAGGTATTTGTCTCTCTCTTCTCCCAGGTAACAAGTGACAGGACAAGAGGAAATGGCCTCAAGTTTTTCCAGGGAAAAAACCTCTTCATTGAAAAGATGGTCAAGAACTGAAACAGGCTGCTCACAGAAGTGATGGAGTCACCATCCTTGGAGGTATTTAAAAGATATGTAGATGTAGTACTTAAAGACATGGTTTTGTGGTGGATTTGGCAATTAATGGCTGGACTTGATGGTCTTAAAGGTCTTTTCTAATGAAAGTTTTCTGATTCTATGACTCAAGAAGGACAAGGGAAAAGGTAGCAGCCTTTAAGATTAACCAAAACTTATAACCAATGTTTTAGATGAACCACAATTTCAGATTAAGTTCCCCGTATGATCAGTGTAACATAAAATTTTGCCAGGAGAAAATTATTAATCTGCCTCATCACATTGTATCATCAGATATGCTCAGAGCATTTTTAGGTGTCAGTTACTCTGGAGTCCCAGGGGGTTTGTTGACATCAGTTTTATATTTAGTTTTATAGTGGTGATTTTGCCCACCTGTTTAGAAGCAAACAAACAAACAAACAAACAAAAATCTTAGATAAAGCCTGTTAAACTAAGTGTAATTTGGAGAATTGTCAAATGTCTTTCCTCCCCCAGATCTGCCAGGCAAATATCTCTGTGATTAAAACAAAGAAAATAAATTAATCTCCGCCTTCTTATTACAATACAAAGTGCGAGCAGCCAGGAAACATGGCGCAAAACCTGATGGTACACAGTGTCCTTAGATCACTTGGCCATTGTTTTCTCTCACAGCAGCACATGTTAATGATACAAAGAAGTTTAACATTTTTTGGCTTTGGCTTTTCATGTCACAACCATAATAAATGTGCATATTATTGTTTGTATTGCCATATCCTTTAGATGCACCGCCAATTTCTAGAGCCTGTTCATGCACAGCCAAGGACAGAATTTTGCCCACAAACAGACTGACTGAATAAAATCAGGCAGAAACATTGCCATACTGGTTCATCTGTGAAGTAATGTGTCACAGTACAGGATGTTTATGTTGTAAAAATGTTGTGTGGGTCGAATCAGTTACAGGAAGACCAAAGTTTTTTGCTTTTCACTTACCAGTTTGATTCTGCTTTAAAAGGCTTTTGTCCTGTATGGACCTAAGAAATCCTTAGTTGTGTTTATTTAAAAAACCCAACAACCTTCAAAACAATAAAATGGTCAATAGAATGTTAAATCCAGAAGAACATTAAGAAATAAACAGATATGGTGTTTCTTTTGCTTATTTTAAGGAATTTGGGCCACAGAGAAGAAAATTGAATATGATGAAAAACGAAGAAACAAGTTTTAATGTGGACAATGCCCGAGCCTCTCCCTTCTCCCTCTGCCTGCAGCCTCTCAGCCCCGTTACAAAGCCACACAGAACAACGCAATTTGATGAAGAATTTAGAGCACACCTCTCACATTTCCGTTATGGTCCTCCTCCTCTTGAAAACATGGAAACATTCCAGGGGTCCTTGGAAGGAGGGTCTCGCAAACGCAAGAGCATGCCAACAAAAATGCCTCCTCCCATCACCCTTGAGGATTCCTCATCATCACCAGATCGACCTGAGGATCACAATGACATAGGCTCTTCCAGTCTCCCCTTGGTGTTCCAACAGCCAGCTCAGCCCAAGTACAGTTCCCAGATGATCGACCTCTGCAACTTTGGTTTTCAATTCTACAGAACTCTGGAGCATTTTGGAGCCAAACCCATTAAGCAAGAACCAGTGAAGCCTAACATGGCATGGCCCAGTAGCCCAGCATTCATGCAGGCTCCTTACCCTTATTATCCTAAAGTCCACCCTGGCTTAATGTTTCCTTTCATTGTACCACCAAATTTTCATTTCAGGAACCCTTTTCAAATGAAAAGACCTCCAGAACCACCCTTCAGGAGGACTGAAGTAAGAGAAAGTGGTGAAAACAAACAGAAAGTGGAAAGAGTAGATGTCAACCTTCAGATAGATGACAGCTACTATGTTGATGTGGGGGGTGAACAGAAGCGTTGGCAATGTCCCATGTGTGAGAAGTCCTATACATCCAAGTACAACTTGGTCACCCATATCTTGGGCCACAGTGGCATTAAACCACATGCTTGCACCCGATGTGGCAAGCTTTTCAAGCAGCTGAGCCACTTGCACACGCATATGTTGACACACCAGGGCACTCGGCCGCATAAGTGCCAGGTGTGCCACAAGGCTTTCACTCAAACCAGTCACCTTAAAAGACACATGATGCAACACAGTGACATCAAACCTTACAACTGCAGGATCTGTGGCAGGGGTTTTGCCTACCCCAGTGAGCTGAAAGCACATGAGTCTAAGCATGAGAGTGGACGAGAGAACATTTGTGTGGAGTGTGGTCTGGACTTTCCAACTCTGGCCCAGCTGAAGAGACATCTAACCACCCACCGTGGCCCTATACAGTACAATTGCACAGAGTGTGATAAGACCTTCCAATACCCAAGTCAGCTGCAAAACCACATGATGAAGCACAAAGACATCCGCCCATACATCTGCACTGAATGCGGCATGGAGTTTGTGCAGCCCCACCACCTGAAGCAGCACTCCTTGACTCACAAGGTAAGCCAGCTCTCACCTTGCATCTGAAGGTAGTACGGGGATTACAGGCCATGAAAGATACACATAGGTAGGTCCCTCCTCAGAAATGTGGTCTCTTGCCAGCTGCAGAGGCTTACACAGAAACTCCAGCATTGCTGGCAGTCGTATCAGCCAGATGTTTTTGTCAGCCTTAAAAAAGTACACGCAAACCCAACTTTGTTATAAGCAAGAATTCAACTAAACCCCCTGTATCACTTCCCCAAACTGGATTCATATCTCTCTGTTTCTTAGGGTTTTTTTTGGAATGACCTTCTGTCAAATTTTGCAGAGTTGTATAACCACCACTGAATCCCAAAATTTTAAAAGATTATTTTTACTTAAAGCCAGTTCTGATACTTTGTTCCCTTACTTAGTAAGTATGTGCGTTTGTAGTGGACTGTAGCAAAAAAAAAGTGTGTTATTACTCATGTCAAAATCATCAGATTTTGAAGAATCCTTATAATAAGACATTTAAAAAACAAAATAACCCTAAGAAAAATTCCCCTTTGTGCATATGTTATCCAGAATGCCAGTTAATAGAAATGGACAAGCAGGATCATAATAGCAGCCAATTCATATCAAGCAGCAGTCTTGCCTTTGCCGACAGTGGTGACAGCAGGGTCAGCTTAGGGTACAAGAAAGCTTTGGAACTTTTTCAAAAAGATTGCTTTGAAAAATAGGAAAAATGCAATTGTTCCATTCAAGAAGCTCTGAAATTGACTATCCCCTTTTACAAAAATAATAAGACAAGTCAAATCCTATCACTTAAAAAAAAGTTTGCTTCCAGATTTGCATATTTTTCCTTTAACATTTGAATTTTGGCTTTTGCATGAAAAACATTAGAAATACAGAAAGCTACAGCTCTTGAGTCTTTTAGTCACATATTCTTTGAAGCTGCACAACCTCTCCTTTCACATTTGCTTTTTCTTTTCTGCTTCATGATTATAATTTCTGTTCTTTCTGGAGATTCCCTGCTCTTCAGATTTACCATGGAATATTCCACTAATTGGAGACTTGGTGGTTTTTTTTTGTCACAGGAAATTAAATGCCCCTGAGCCCTAGAGAGCTTATGCTTCTTTGTCCACAGCCACAGGTGGATTCACCATGAATAGAATTTATAGTACTTAGCTGACTAAACACAGCCTCGTATCAGATGAGCAGACACTTGAAACTGGTGGTGATGTTCAGTTTTAGCTTTGTAATTAACTGTGAAAACCACTGACAGTCATTTCACATCTTTCTAAAGAAGGGCTGTGGAAGGAGTAATTGCTCTGAGCACCTCACTAGTAAATCCTTATTACCTTCAGCAAGTCAAACTCTTAAGCTGTTTAGTAGCAAATTATTTGATTTTCATAGTATCTAAATCACTGAGAAGCTGACAGACCACATGGGTGTGAGTAAGGATATTGAATTATGTAGTAGTAAATTGAGTGGATAGCATAAAAAGTGATGGAGATGTTCTATAAACCTTATATAAAATGAATTCATTCCATAGTGGTTACTGAAAATTCCACCAAGAATAACCAGGTTTTTTTCTCTGCAATAAATGTGAGATGTATTATCAATGCTTTACGTAAGCAGTAGAGCAGGAGAGGGAAGCCCTGACACTGACTATGTCTGATTAATTTGAAAAAAGCCTTCATTATTTCATTAAGCTGACATTTTGTTTTGCTTCTTTGCTTCTCAGAAGCTTGTAAGAATTTGTCGGGAGAAAATACCTTGAAAAATGTTAAAAGGGAAATAATTTATTATCGACTTTGCTAATGCAGAATGAATAATTCATAAGTCGCTGTACTGACAATTAAATTACCTAGAAAATTTTCCATCTATAGAATTTTTCTTTTCTTTCAGGGTGTGAAAGAGCACAAATGTGGAATTTGTGGCCGGGAATTTACTCTGCTGGCCAACATGAAGCGACATGTGCTGATCCACACCAATATCAGAGCCTATCAATGCCACTTGTGCTTCAAGAGCTTTGTGCAAAAGCAGACTCTCAAGGCCCACATGATTGTTCACTCTGATGTCAAACCCTTTAAATGCAAGGTATGTGCATTTGGTGGCAGACGTATTAACCTAAAGTATATTTCTCTGATATTATCTTCTTATCATAGGGTAGAATTAGAAAAACAAAACTTCCTAACACATACTGTACTTGTATTCAAAAATTAACATAAACTAGTCTGATTGTCTTTCTTTATCCGGGTTCTGCTTATGTAGCACAAAATAATGGAGATAAATACCTGTGGTTTACTCTCTTTCCCTTCAGGATCATTCATCCTCACATAGTTTTGGGGCTTTTTTTTGCCCTGTGATTGTTTAAGTGCCACAGACATTTGAGGACAATAAACATATCTGACATTTGCTTAGTACAAGCTTCCAAACAGAAGTTTAAGTGCTTAATAGCTTGAAACACTGACAAAAAGCAGAAATCAAGTCATGCACCCTGCAGAGGATCATGAAAAAGCAGCAGCCACAATTTCATGCAGTGATGCTATGCAACAGTTCAAGAAAGGAGTCAGAAAAAGCCACAGCAAAATAAAACTACAGAAGGGATTTGAATGGGTAGAGTGTAATTACCAGACTGGAATTCAAGGCAGGATATCAGTATGCTAACAAAACAGCCTCTGAGACCACCTGGCCTTTCTACAATCCTGTGCAAATTCCAGTTTGCCACTTTCCCCCCAGCACTGGAGGCTGGCATTCCCTTTCTATCTCTCTTCTTCTCCCTCCCCATAGACCTTTAAGACTTTATTGACCCTGTTTACTTCTAATATATTTCTTATTAATTATTCATATCTATATTCTTACTCAGTATTGGATGCTGCATAAGTTCTTTTGCTGCCTATCTGGTTTGTTACTGTAGTCATACTTCGCAAAGTTAAAGGCTGTAGATTTTTTCCCCCCTTTAATTTGTTCTAAGATGGCTGTAAATACAGAGTGGAGCATATTACCCAGCTTATGCATAAGTAAGTAAAGACTGATTTGGAAGCAATTTCTATAACTCTTTCATCCTACATCTATATGGTATTGAATATTTTCGTAAAAGGAACTTACGAAGAAGCAGAGATGGATGAAAAATTTTAAATGGAATTATTTTGTCTTGAAAAAATGTAGAATTTCAAAATGTCATAGGAATATATGATATTCAGTGCTAGTTTTAGTCAAAGAATAAATATAAGAAACTGTCAAAATGAATCTTTCTGACTACATAATTTTTCTTTCTTAACTTCAAAACATTTTACTTTGAAAAACTAGCAGCAAAGTCTTCCAACTTCAGTATTTTGTTTTATTTTAATGTAAGTATTATGAAAGTAAGTATGTTGTATGTAGTACTGTTTACATTTCTCTATGTTGATAAAAGAATTTATTTTACTGAAATTCTTAGTGTGTAACAAGTCAGGTCTGCTGGAGGTTTTCATTCTTTGAGAACATCTGCAAACGAGCCTGTTGTTCCCATTTGGTTGAAGTCCTTCTCTGACTCCTCAAACCTCAGAAAATAATCTCAAATTTTGGATCAGATTTTGTGGGTGCAGTATGTAGATACACATGACTTTTTGGTACGTGCAGATTAGCTGGAAGGTTGTGTTCAGCTCAGTGTTTGATGATGACAGACTATTGAAACTTGGGGAGGGAAATAGTTGGAACTGAGAAATGGAGTATCACCAGTATGTTTTCCAGACAGTAACAAAAGCTCTACAGAAACACCTGTTTTTCGTATTTTTTTACTTTTCTGTCCCACCCAGTGTTCCAATGAGGAAAGAAACAAGTAAGCATAGTGAATCTGTTTCTCATATGTTTGAAGGGGTGTGAATCAGCATCATTGCCCCTGACAGTGAAGATTGCAACAATAAGCAGATGCAGAATCAGGAATTACTTTTTTGCATTAGGAACATCCTAACATTACCTCTTTGACAAAGACTCCCAAAGACTCTTGAAAGCAAATATTTCTAGCTGGTACTTGGAGGGTTAAGGCAATGACCAGATAGCAGCCTTTTGGCAGCAAGCTCCTCCTCAGCAGAAGGAAGGATATAGCTGTATGAACAGCCTGCTTAACAATGGCTCACATGTCCCCAGGGAACCGCCTGCAAATAGATTTCATCTTGCTTTCTCTTGTACTTTTCAAAGCTTCCTGTTTTCTCACGGTCCTTTTGGACAGTTTACAGTCATTCTCCCTCTCCTTCTTTCTTTGAGGAAAGGAACACCCTTCTTATGAAGAAAAAAAAAGAAGAAGAAGAAGAATGCAAGGGAAAGAGAGCACAGCAGTAGCCTTTATACTTCACCGCATGCAATGGTTTTCTTTACCTTTTTCTCACAGCAAAAGAAAACATGAGCTTTCCTATGTGTCTAATCACAACTAAGCACATACTATCAGAAGTGAGGGAGTAGCAAATACTTGTCCCTTCTGTTTCCTCACCCAGCTGCAGCCTGGATCTCTCTTTGATTTTCTGCTGAAGAGTGAACTTGTCTGTTGCATTTAAAGGCCTTGTTTATTACTGTTTAAGAAAAAAACCCCAAAATCTGAAGAGTTACGAAGGTATTCCAACAACTGGTGCAACAGTACTAATTTGGATTTGTAGAGAAAGGTTCCATGAAATTTACTGTTGCTTTTAGTGCTGAAGTAAGCAATGTTTCAGACCTCCAATAAAGGATGCAATGGATTTTTCTTCAGCCCAGACAAATATCTGCAACAGATGTTTTGAACACCACTTTTTTCCCCATCTAAAAAATGTGGCTTTTAAACAGGAGTCAAAATCAAAGAAAATGTGAGAGAGAAGTACTTTGAGAAGAAACAAAACTGGGGACAAATCTGGAAGGATGATACTTCATGTGCTGGCTTAGGAGGAAAAAAATCTAGGGTAGAACTAATGTAGACTATTCTAGCAAACTATACTGAAGTCCATTTCATCAACCAGTGCAACTAAGTCTGTGCACAGATTTGCAGCTGAGGTGTTCTCTTCAAGGCTTTAATTTTATTTTGTCTAACATTATTTTGTTAGACAGCCTAACAGAAAGTCCACAAGTAAACCATGTTGTTCCCAATATCCCAGGTTCTCTTGCATAAACTTCTCATCTCCCTGAGTGCTATGGTGCACTGGGTTCTTCTGGAGCTCCTCCCATGGAACTGTCTCAGGGTCATCTTTTGCACTCTGCTCACAAGCCTGTCATGTCAGAGAGAAAGAAAATCTTGTACAATTGTCTAGTTTGATCTGCAGACTCAAGCTCTTCACTGAGCATTAGCTGTGTACTCCAGCTAGATTTGAATTGCAGTCTTACAGCATACAAGTGAGAAACCTACTTCCTTTTACATCTGGATCATAGATATTAATCTGAAAAGTGTCTTGTGCCTTTTTGAAATGATCAGTAAAACAGAGACTATGCCACAGAGACTCATCATTCTGAAAAACAAATTTCCTATCTGCATTTCTTTAATTTTCCTGCCACACCTCTGCACTCTTGTACCATTTCCTTATGTCCCCAGAGGAGATTTCAGGACAAGAACACATTGCGTATCTTGAAGATGTGCCTGACTCTGGGAAATGGAAAACCCGTCAACTTTATTCAGACACAGAACTTTTATGCTGTAAATAACCTTTACAGAGTCCCTGTCTTTTCAGTAAGAAGAAAGAGAAACAGATATTGCCTTGACAGAAATCAACTAAATGCTCCTTCTAAATAAATATTAACACTCAAGACCTTATGAAGATAAGTGTTTGCATGCAGTACTGAAGCCACTCATCTACTCAACATGAGTAGATGGTTACCAGTTCAGACAGAGAAGACCTAGATATAGGAAAGCAAGTTCTAGTGATAACATATGTCAGCCACAACACAAGCAGATAACCAGAAGCCTTCAGCAAAGAGGTATTAGAGAGATATTATGGTTGACATTCTTGTAGGAAGAGTAATGTTACAGGTTGTTCCAGCAGCTGTCAAGATATACTCAGCTGCTGTTACTTGTTGGAAATTTTCTGTGCTCATTAGTAGTCTCAGTAGATGAGAGTCTGATTCCTCCCAGCACTTTCTGAGGTATTTTGTGGTTCCATCTTTCCTCTGAGTGTAAATAATCCTGCATGTTAACTTTCTTTGAACATGAAGAAGACCGTATTCTTTCCTCAGTGGGTGGTTGACCCTTGGAAACAGCTATCTTACTTTTTAAAATTAATTACTCACTTTCAGTGGCTATTCTTTTTTTTTCCACCAACTGTCTTGCCTAAGACTTTGCTGATAAATTTATTTGCTAGAGATTTCATTTTAGTAAAATCACAGACAGAAAAACACAAATGGACCTATGCAGCTGAAGCAAATAATTTTTTGAAAAACAAGTGGATGTTTTCAGATGTTTCTTTTGTAGCACTGACTCAGCTCTAGTTTTTATTTTAAAACAGTAAACTTGCTAATTTTTGTGTTAATGAACTGATTCAATTTTCCCTCAAGAGAGATCTTAAAACACAAAGCATACAGTACTCTTTTTCCAAGAATCCTTTCACTGTTTATATTTCATCCAGATATTCCAGGTGATGATTTTCTGAATTTACATCTACAAGTTCTGTGTCAGTTCTTCTGCAATACCAAATAAGTAAAATCTGAATTCAGATTATACAAATAAATCTGGTGGAGTCTTAGTAATTACTATTTATTAATTGTCTGCCAGATAGTTACCCTGCTAGATGAAGGTTTCAGTTACTCGGTAATAGTGACTCTGGTTCATATAGTAATAAGAATAATTTAAAAAAATTAAAATCCAGTGATAAAACAAGTCAGGAAAAAAAAAATGTAGAAAGCAAGCACAGAAGTTTTCAGAGGATGGAAATAGCCACTTGAATGTGAATAAAATTATAAATCCTGGTAAGGAAAGACCAAAAGACAAGTAAGACTGGATGCCTGTAATAGTGATGTCAAACTCTCATGTCTTAAGAATACATAAGAGTCCAGACTACAAAAGGACCCATCTAAATAAACAACAATGTATAAAACCCACCCGTATTGTTCCATCAAAGGAAAAATTGCATGATCAATGGCTTGAGCTGGCAGGAACATGCTTCAGGGAAAGCTGAGTCATTCTTGCAGCCTCATGACTGCTTAAATTGCAGCTTACTCACCAGAGACATCGAAACACAGGAGCTGATAAACAAATGATGAAAGAATCAGTGAAAAAAAGGGGATGAACAAGAAACACAAAAAACCAAGGAATTGCTTTTTCTAGCTTTAAGCAAAATGTGCAGCCATTTAATTTCCGTTTAAAAAGAAATAATATTCTGCTTGACTGTTTCACAGAAAAATTGGTTTTATTTTATAATTCTATTCCTGCCTGCCATTGTAGGTGATTAAAGGCTAGATGTATAAACTACAAATTGAATGGGTCACCAGGGCAGAAACTTTTACTTTGAATCTCATTCAAGTCAAGAGCCTTCCAGATTACTCCCTTAAGTCTTTGCCCTCCTTACAACAACATTGACTGCTTTTGGGCAATCCTGGACTATGTGTGCTGATCACCAATATTAAGAAATGTCAGCAGTTCAGAGTGTCTTAGATACTCAACCATATGTTTTTGCCTGTAGGATTTTTGATGGAACTTGGAAAAATATATTGCAGCCAAAAACTGTCAGAGTTTAAGTTGAGAAGTATAGGTCCTCTTTCCTTTAAAAATGTTGTCCTTGAAAATACTGCTTCAAACTAATAATTTTCATTTTAACCATTTTTACAGCTGTGTGGAAAGGAGTTTAACAGAATGCACAATTTAATGGGACACATGCACTTGCACTCAGATAGTAAGCCGTTTAAGTGCCTCTACTGTCCCAGCAAATTCACCTTGAAAGGAAACCTAACCAGGCACATGAAAGTCAAACATGGGGTCATGGAAAGAGGATTTCACTCTCAAGGTAATAATTTTCAGCAAGATTATTCTCTGTGAGATCTGAATATAATCAATAAACACAAATGGGCTTTGTACTACAGTTCCACAAACTTGTGCCATAGATCCAATGCTATTGCAAGAGGTAGAATCCCATAAGCCTGTGAAGTTGTTATTAGCTATATCACTATAGCATTACATGGCAGCATTACATGTGCCAAATAAACCAAAAATTAATCCTAACTTGATAGAAAAAGAAAATCTGAAACACTTATGGTCCATTCTCACAGCTTATTGGATTCCAGTCTGGAACGGGGATGGAATCCTCAATGGATCTATACCTGCTTGTTTATGAAACACTGTTTAGTGCATAGAACCATTTTCAGGTGATTGTTTCTCAGTGGATGAAAGGGGAAAAGTTAAGGGAGTCATAGACTGCTGAGACTGTTGTATTTAATTTTTAAAACATTAACTTTGAACCATGGTGTCCATAGAACAAATACATTACCATATTTTTAGTCTCTTCCACTCCTCTGAAACATAAGATACAAAACCTGGGACTTGGATTACGGACTGTGATTCTTTAGATCCAAGTTTTATTTTAGAAAAAGAATAGGAAGGAGGAAGTGAGTAGGTTGATTGGCAAAATTCAGTTTACAAAAGGCCAGACCATTTCACTTTTCTTCCCAGCTGCATCATCCAGAGTCTGGCTGTATAAAACAATGTTTTGTGTGTCCTAACCTGGCTGTGAAGTGTATACAATAGCACTCCTTTTTGCAGCATCTCGAAGGAGATGCCATGAGATATGAACAGTGAAGTACTTGGAGATAGCTGGATGGAAGACAAAGGTAAAAAATGAAATGCAAAGACACCTCAGATTTTGGTTTTAGCCACGTATCAAGTAGTAAAATTTCCTGTATATAATTTTTTTCCTTTTCTCCTCCCCTCAAACCCACTGCAAGGTTTTGGAAGAGGAAGGATTGCTCTGTCCCAGACAAATGTCTTGAGAAGCTTGGAACAGGAAGAGCCGTTTGATCTTTCCCAGAAAAGCCAAGGGAAGGGGATCTCATTTCATTCTGATGGTGAGAGTGCCAAGGGAAGCTCATGCCAGGAAGAAGAGGAAGACAACTGCTATGAGGCGGAGCAATACAGCCCTGCCACATACCATCATGATGACAGCAAGCTGTACATGGCTCAAGATCTCTCTGGCAAACCTGAGTGCATGATGAAGGACTTCAGGGAGTCCTACCACAATGAAAAGGAAGAGGTGTTAAGTGAGGGAGGACTGGGGAAGAGAATAGGAAATTCAGACAAAGAGGAGAGACGTGGAGAGGGAGACCTTACAAACAGCAAAGAGCATCTCAGCTTTAGATCCTTTGAAAAGGCCAGACTTGGTCACTCTCTCTCTGATTACTTGTATTTCAAGCACAGGAACAAGAGTTTGAAAGAATTGCTGGAAAGAAAAATGGAAAAGCAAACAATGCTTATAGGCATTTAAAATGGACATTTTAAAACAGCTGGAAAATGGTAACCAGATAGATTTTAACATGAATTGTAAGCTACTAAAGCCTGGAAGGCTGTAGTAGCATTTAGAAATAAATAATTATTAAAAATAATTTAGGGTAAAACACGTACATTAAAAGAATAAAGCAGCTTGAGGTCACCAAGAAATGTAATAGATATTGAAAATAACACTTTAATATTTATCCATTTAATGTATAACAGACAATGGGTTGGGTACAGAAGTTTACTTCCTATTATATGGGGATAGATACTTACATCCAATTTTCTACTTAGCAGAAAGCTACATACTTTAGCATCTGATTTATTATCTGACTGAATATATAGGAAAACTTCTAACCACATGCCTCAAAAATACCTGAAAATACAAAGTATTTCACATTATAAGCCAGAGTACTATTAAACATGGCATGCATGAAAATGCTGTCAACATTCAGAACTAACACAGTCCAGATACTTTGATTTACTGAAGTGACTCTCAGTGTAACTACTTACAATGAGAAATGTGAAACAAAATAATAAGAAAAACTAATGTCTTGGGAGGCAGAAAAGGACAGTTCTGTAAGGCTTTGAAAGGACTGGAATTTATTACAAAAGCTAGTTCTCTGGCACAAGGAATGTTCGTGCTTTGCTGTGTTTCAGGCAGTATGGGAATATTCAGAAATTCTTGAAGTAAAATAGCATAGATTGTGTTGACATTTTGTTCTACTGCCTGCTTGAACCAGTACCTGTACAGGGCGGCATCAGCATGCAGCATTCACAGTCCTGCCATAGTTACACATAACACAGTCATTTAATTGAAAAAATTAAGCAGCTTTACCATTTATTGCTTCAGTTTATCATTACTAGTAAGGATAATTTTGAAATACACAGATCTGGTCAATTTTTGTTTCAGAAGGTAAAAACTACCCTTACAGAACAAGCAGTACCTCACAGAGAAAAACCTTCCTCTTATTAAATTCAGGAAGCTTCTCTTATTAAACACTTTTTGAGCAGTAAGCTGCAGGCCTTTCAGACAAATTTCACTCATGCTGTTATTACAAGTCAAACTCAGCTTTTCATCCTCTGATTCCCATACAGTTATAAGTTTATAACCAACATGGGAAAAGCATATTCCATTAAACTTTTCACTAATTACATGAGTACTTTGAACAGCATATTAGTTCCCATATCTTCAAGAAAGACAAAAAGCAGCCCTGCATCATTCTATTGCTTATGTGGAAATAAAAATTTAATTAATCATAAAATTTGTCCTAATTTGTCCCAGCTCAAAAGGTTAAAATCCATATATGTGGTACATCTCTTCCAAATATTACTACCTTCTTCACTTACCTGCCAAATTCTTGATTTGAAATGCATTGCAATCATGCTCTCTATATAGCAAGTTATAATTAAATATAGTAATCTGCTTTTATGGCTTGCTAAGACAAGTCATGTAGCTGCAGCTCTCTGCCCGTATAAGAAAACACACACCTCTCAAATTAATGATCCTCATGTCTACCAATTAAGCAGCGTTCACAGGGAAAAGTCCTTATTTCTCATATAACTGGGTTTGTGTAGTCCAAGGCTACAGGCAGTGTTTTCCAAGGCTACAGGCAGTGTTTTCCTTTTTCAAGGCTCAAACCAAACATGGCATAACATATGCAGAAATTCATGCAGAAAAAGCTGTTGATAAAAGAAAGAGTAACATCCAGGTGACTCTTCTAAATTAATTCTATGTCCGATGTGCATATTTTTAAAATAAAAATGTTATGCCAGATTGAACTGGAAGATAGGTCACTTCAGAATTTTAAAAGTCTTTGAGGTGTATTCTAGAGATACATGGTCATGTTTCTTCAGGGATTAACTGTTCTATCATAAATATTCCTCTTCCTTTCTTGAGCTGTAAGACGATGCCTATTAAAAAAGAAGCCATTTTTCTTTCAAGGTAGACATTGTGGTCAAGCAAAAAAGTTAGGAATGTTTTAGAATAATGAGTGTAAATGTATTATTTCTTATACTATAGGGGAAGTGATTGGGTAGAAATTCAGCATGGTCTAGTAGATGGTCCTCGGAAATGGGAGCAACTCTTTCAGTTAACCTCTTGGCACTAGCTTGTCTCTACCAGACAAAGGCTCCCATTTGAGCATGTGTACAGCCAAGAGCTGGGAGTCTCTAACTCTTAGAATTGTCTCCCTCTTGATGGTGCAGTTTCCTGCTGTGCATAGTTCAATATCAGTCCACTCCACATTTCCAGATATATTAGTTCATATGATAAAAAGAACAAGCAAGGAATTGTGAATCTCTTCGCAATTTCTAGAAAGGTGATCATGCCGGTGGGTGGAATTTAGCAAGTCCTTCAGTCCTGTGGTGTGTAAAACAGGAAAGTACGCAGCCCTTCCATTGCAAAATCTTGTCTATTAATTGGAGAATGCTATGGGACAGCTAGACCATCCTCATCAAGAAAGAAACAAAGTATTACATATCAATTGCAGTCCAGACAAATAGAGCGAAGGAGACATTTTTAGCAGAGTTCAGCTCCCAGCCACTAATATCATAGGATGTGTTCTATCTGTGCTTCAGCAAAGCCTTTGATACTATCTCCCATGGCATTTTCCTGGAAAAGCTGACAGGTCATGGCTTGGGCGGATGAACTCTTTGCTTGGGTGAAAACGTGGCTGTATGGTCAGGGAGTGGTGATTAATGTAGTTAACTGCAGCTGGCAGACAGTCACCAGTAGTGTTGCCCAGGGGTCAGTATTGGGCATATCACTATTTAATATCTTTATGAGCCATCTGGATGAGGGAATGGAGAGCTCCTTCAGCCAGCTCACAGATGTCACAAGCTGGGTAGGAGTGCTGATCTGCTGGAGGGCAGGAAGGCTCTGCAGAGGGATCTGGACAGGCTGGATCATGGGCCAAGGCCAGTGGTGTGAGGTCCAACAAGGCCAGTGCTGGGTCCTGCCCTTGGGTCACAGCAACCCCAGGCAGTGCCACAGGCTGGGGCAGAGTGGCTGCAAAGCTGCCCACAGGAAAAGGACCTGGGGGTGCTGCTGACAGCAGCTGGACATGAGCCAGCAGTGCCCAGGTGGCCAAGAAGGCCAATGGCATCCTGGCCTGCATCAGCAATGGTGTGGCCAGCAGGAGCAGGGCAGGGATTGTCCTCTGTACTCAGCACTGGGGAGGCCACACCTCAAATCCTATAGCAAATTTTGGGCCTTTCACTCCAAGAAAGACATTGAGGTGCTGGAGCATGTCCAGAAAAGGGCAACAAGTCAGACATCCCTGGAGGTGTTCAAGAAATTATTGGATGTAGCTTAGTCTAGTTGACCAGGTAGTGATTGCTCAGAGGTTGGACTTCATGATATTAAGAGGTCTTTTCTTACCTAAATACTTCTGTGATTATGTGATTCTGCAACTGCAAAAACTATGTCTACTGGAAGCACACAGTCTAGAGTTTCCTTACTGACCTTGTAGAAGAATGTGCCATATGTATCCTTAGGAAAGGAAGACAGTTCTGGCTTGTCTAAATGGTTAATCCAAACTCCTTCAATGACACTCACTGCAGTCAATTCACCCACTTTTACAGGTGCAATTCTCACTGGAGTAGAAGTACTGGACAACCACATACAGACAGCTGGAAAAAAGTCCCAGAATGGCAAAACTATTTGCAAGTAATTAATAATGTGAACCCTTTTTCATAGTATTTTACTAGAAAGCAGAATATTTCTTCACAATGAGACTTTGAGATTCTGCCCAGACACAAAGTCATACTAAGCTAATTCTCAAACACGCAAGTCTAATTCATGTCAGAATAGCAAAAACCTAATTTAAAACTGTAAGTTATCAATAAGAGAAATTACAAACAATATTATTACTGAGGTAAGAAGACAGTGCCAAGTGACCCAAGCAAAGTGGTTAGAAGATGACAGTCCTCCCTACTGCAGAACATAGTGTAAATGGGTCTGAGACACTTGTTACAAAGAGGCCTCAAGGGACAAATTAAAAGTGAAATAACAGCCTTCATTGTGAAGCACCTTGCTTTTCAAACATAAGTTATTTTCATACTATTTACATTGGCACCGCTTTGGGAACAGACAGTAACAGCCTTTGCTTTTTAATAGCTTTGAAAATGCTTTATAGAAATTTGCTCTCATAATGAAGCTATTTCCCATTTGTAATTTTCAAGGGATTAGCTTCCTTATTTTGCCTTGTGTAGAGGCTCAGAAGTCCAGTACAGACATTGCCTGTGTCCTGGACATTGGGGGATATATTTAATTCTTTTTCTCTTTCCTAATGTGAGTTTATCTATCATTTTCTAGCTATGTGGAAAAAAAAAAAAAAAAAAAGTCTTTATCTTACTACTAGTCACTGTTATGTGGGTTTTCAGTTTATGGGGACACATGAAACTAAAGCCCAGTCTCCACCAACTCTCTATAAAAGCACATCTATACCATTTCCCTGCATTGTTTATGCAGCCTTATTTCATCATTTCAGAGAGCATTACAGCAAATAAGAGTGGCTACAAACTTGCACAGCTGAGATGCTTTCAGAAGTCAGGCTGAGGAAAAGATAAATTTGCCCTACTATAAAGAGTCCGGGCAAGTGAAGGCATGTGGTTCATTTAGTTAGGGGCTTTTCTGATGTTGAGGGTAGCAGGGAGAGTTCTGCAAGACACTTTGGAGCACAGAGTAGGTGGAGGAAAACCCAAAATCTGGGCTACTAAAGTTTAAGGGTGAAGATAGACAACATATTTACAGGGAAAGTGAAGTTGTACATGACCTTGGAGTAAAGGGATTAACTGTTTTCAGTCTGGCCACAAGGACTCCGCCATCTCGTTGTGAAACTGAGTTTTTCTGGCTGCCAGACAGCGTTCAGTTTGTGACAGAAAAGACAGGTGTTCTGTGTTCAGAAGCTCAAAGGGTAAAATACTTTATGATTAATATCATAATTAAAGTTTATTCTGTGCTGTTTCCTGTAAAACGAGTTACTGGAAAGACCAAGTAATGCTACTGCACTCACCTTTTTACAACTCTGTGTTTGTCTACTACCTATTCTTTGATTTCTGTCTTCATATGGTGCTGCTGGACTCTGCTGTTTTGAGTGTACAGTTAAGAAGTAATATAAGTACCGTATTTATTATTCCTAGAAGTTTTAATAGTCATTAACAGTTTTGAAAATGTCATGTCTGCTTAGCTGAACAAGATGTAACAGAGCTAACATTTTGTACTCCTAACAGATTTTTCAAATAATGTGTTGCATATTTATTTCATGTAGAACACTGAGTTCCTGTTTAAAGCCACAGCTCATGAAGTGAACCAATTATACATGAATCTTTAGTTTCTGGCTTTCTATCTCAATAGTAAAAGCATGTATGATGTATTGTATTAATTTAAGCAAATAAATATGTACTGGAGAAGCCGCTGTATTTTGTATTGAAATGGATATGGAGTTCTTGGCATTCTTGGTATTTTATATGGCAAATGCCTGGGTTTGGTCTGACAAGGTCATTCTTCTCTGAGCATCACTGAAGAGTGGTTCTTGTAAAGGGAAGGCTAAATCAATGATGGAAGACGAGTTAGAAGAGAAGAGCAGAAGAGCTGCCAGGTCTTTTAAGGTAGAGAGATAATTTTATTATTGCAGACTACACAGAGGACATAAAAAATGCCCTGGAGTGATTATGGTATTTGTCAACTTGGCTTCAGACAAGCTAAAAGAGAAAGGTCTTTTTCTTAGAGATTTTTTAAAGAACTGCATGATGTAAAAAGAGAGGGAAAACCAGCCAGATGTATTGTAAGACTGAAGTTATGAAAATAGAAATACCATTATATCTTAAGGAATAAGCAGAAGATTGAATAAGAGACTTAATGTTACTTTTTCTAAAGGAAAGGGTCACTTTTAAATACTAATTAACCTTTGAATTTGTTTGTTCAAATGAGATCCTAATTGAAT